CTCGCAAGACAATGAGGGCACTGCCTCCACATATGACCCATCTCACCACACTCATAACAACTCCCAGGTGCTAGAGAAGGGGACTGAAGGGAACCCCTCGCACCGGAGTGACTAGCAAATGCACCTGGCATAGAAGAGCCATGGACTGATGGAGCACGGGATGAACTCTAAGCTAGAAAGTCACTAAGTGATGAATGACCCTGATGAGAACTGTGAAAACCATGACTCGATGACGCCCCATGATAACCTGGGCGAGCTAGCTGAGCTTGCCTGAATGGATGGCCTCTGCCGTACTGAAACTGACCTCTCGAAGGAGTACCACTATAACTACCAGATCCTCGAGGCCTCTTGACCTCCCTCTCCTCTCACTCCTAGCGACGGACAGACTCTATCTCACGGGTAATGTCCACAACCTCCTCGAAGGTAGCACCATTTATCCTCTCCCTGATCATGAGAATACGAAGCTGATAAGTGAGGCCATCAACAAACCTCTTAATCCTCTCTCTATCTGTCGAAACCAACCAAATAGCATGGCGAGCTAACTCGGAGAACCTCATCTCATACTGCGTCACAGTCTTCTCTCCCTAACGCAACCACTCAAACTCCCTATGCAGCTCCTCTCTACGAGACTGCAGCACATACTTCTCCAGAATGAGAACGGAGAACTACTGCCAGGTAAGAGGTGCTGCACCAACAGGCCTACGCCTGTCAAAAGTCTCCTACCAAGTGAAGGCAGCTCCAGAGAACTGAAAAGTAGTGAAAGCGACCCCGCTGGTCTCCAGGATACCCGTTGTACGAAGCATCCTCTAACACTTATCCAAGAAACCCTGGGTATCCTTGCCCTCTGCACCACTGAAAGTTGGAGGATGAAGTCTACCAAACCTTTCCAACCTACGCTGCTCGTCCTCTGGCATGGCAGGAACTACATAGTCCTGAGCAGCTGCAACCGACTGGGTTGGATGTGCCCCCAACGTCTGAAGTCCTTGCACGACTTGCTCAGGTGTGCGAGCGGCAGGAGACTGATTGCCTCCCCCGGCCTGAGAAGTAGCTGCGGCTGCAGTGACTGAAACCGCCTGAGCTAGGCCAATGCAAACTGATAGAATCTGAGCCAAGGCCTCCTGAAGACCCAGAATCACAATGGGCACAGCTGGTGCCTGAGCTGATGCTATTGGAGCGTCCATAATTGGGACCTGATCCTGAACTGGGGCGGCTGGTGGATCTGCAGGTGCTGCCCTAGCTGTTGTGCGGGCCACACCTCTGCCCCTACCGTGACCACGACTGCATCCTCGGCCTCTAGTGGCCATAGCTTGTGGTACTGGTGGTCGTCCATCCTGACCGGTAGCGCGTGTCCTCACCATCTGTGAGAGAATAGAATAACAGAAGTTTAGTACTCAGATCAACAAGTTCGCACGACAAGAATTTCAAGAATATGAAGGCTTCCTAAAGGTTCTGCAGCCTCTCGAGGATAAATACAGACGTCTTTGTACCGATCCCCCAGACTCTACTAAACCTGCTCATGACTCGTGAGACCTATGTAACCTAGGCTCTGATACCAACTTGTCACGACCCCAAACCTGGACCCGGTTGTGATGGCGCCTCTCATGAAGACAAGGCCACCCGACACATTTCCAATTTGTTTTTAAGCAATTAAGAGGTAAGCATTTAGTTTTAAACATGATAAAAATCCAAAAGTAAACAGTGACAATACAAAACAATTTGCGGAATACAACCCAACACAGCCCGATACCGGGGTGTTACTAGTCATGAGCATCTAACAATCGCTACAAGTCTGAAATGCCTATTAAACTATTACAGAACAACTGATAAAGAGATAGAAATGAGATAAAGGGGGAGAAACACGGGTCTGTGGACGCCAAACAGCTACCTCGTGGACTCCGAAGTCTATCGGGAGCTTTCAACTAGCGCTGGCAGGATCAACAACTCCTGAATCTGCATACGGGGTGCAGGGAGTAAAGTGCGTACTCCAACTCAGTGAGTAATAATCATAAATAAAGACTGAAAGCATGAAATCATGTAAGGCACATTATCGGCTATAAGGAAGTAGTAAAAACCAGTAAAGTAGTGAAGCAGTAAAGATATGTAAAATTACTGAATTCAGTTTAAACTTCATAAAAATGCCTTTTTAACAATTAAGCAAGCAAATGATAGGCAAATAGGAAAGATAAACACATAAAAGATCGCCCCACGGGCGAGATCATAGAACAACACTAGCCCCTCGGGCTATCTCTCACATCACATTGGGTATCCGCGCTCACTGGGGGTGTGCAGACTCCTGGAGGGGCCCCTTATGGCCCAAACGCAATATCAAGCCATCTCTTGGCATCATCACTAGTCTCTCGGCCTCATATCAACAAGCCACCTCATGGCGTACACATCTCAGGCCCTCGGCCTCATAATCATAGTTAGTGTTTCCTAACAACATAGGCCCTCGGCCTTACTCAGTCAAAATCCTCACAAGCTATTCGGGCAATAGTAAAACATGGTTCTCAGCCCAAAATATCATTTAAAAGATCATTTAAGTGTTAGACAGAGTAAACATGGCTGATTTATGAAAACAGTGGAATATAGCATGACTTAGTTCAAGTATAAAGTCAAAACAGTGAGGAAATATCAATAAAAATCCCCTAAGGGTTCAAATAGTTGGCACGGAACCCAAATATAACATTCAGCCCAAAACAAGAAGATAGCAAATAGATTTCAGTCAAATACGCGGTAAAATAGTCATTCGAGACGGACTAAGTCACGATTCCCAACAGTGCACGGCCCCACGCTCGTCATCTAACGTGTGTGTCACCTCAATATAGTACAACAATGTGAAATTCGGTGTTTCATACCCTCAGAACATCATTTACAATCATTACTCACCTCAATCCGGTCCAAATCTCTAGCCCGCGACTCCTTTACCCCTCGAATCGGCCTCCACTCGCGTCGAATCTATCCAAAATCAGAATCACGGCGTCAAAATATGCTAAGGGAGCGAAGCCTAAGCAAAAATAATCAATTTACAACACAGATACCGAAATTACCAAAACCCGACCCCCGGGCCCACATCTCGGAATTCGATAAAATTCACATAAATAGATTCCTCATCTCCCCACGAGTTCGTACATATCAAAAGTACCAAAATCCGATCATAAATGGTCCCTCAAATCCTCAAGTCTAGGTCTCCAATACCAAGCCCTAGTTTCCCCAATCTTAACCCTTAAATTCCATTAATTATAGCTCTAATCCGTGAAATAATACCATAGAAACGAGTTTTAGGTCCAAAATCCTTACCTCAATGAAGTTCCCTTGAAATCTTTCTTCAAAATCGTCCAAAAAGCTCCAAAGCCGACTTAGAAATGGTGAAATAGCTCAAAAATTGTGAAGGAAACAATTTACACTTTCTGGCCCAGGTATTTCGCATCTGCGGCCCAATTCCCGCTTATGCAGTACCGCATTTGCGGTCAACCAACTGTTTCTGCGGTTTTTACTTAAACTGCCCAACTCCGCATCTGCGATGCAATATCCGCACCTGCGCCATCGTAGGTGCGGCTCCTTGAACGCTTTTGCAGTTTCTGCTCTCCTAGCCCCTTTCCGCTTCTACAACCAATCTTCTGCATATGCAGCATCGCACCTGCGGTCCTCAATCCACAGGTGCGGAAACAATAGAAGCAGCAAATCTGCAGCTTTACCAAAATTTCAAACTTCTCCGTCAACCATCCGAAATCGCTCTGAGGCCCCCGAGACCTCAACCAAAAGCACAAACATATACCAAAACCTTATTCAAACTTATAGCAATCTTCAAAACACCTCAAACAATATCGAATCAACCAAAACTCATCGGATTCAAGCCTAAGATTCCAAATTCTTCCGAATTACACTTTGATAAAAAATCCAACCAAACCACGTCCGAATGACCTGAAATTTTGCACACATATCCCAAATGACACAACGGAACTACTGCAACTCTTGGAATTCCATTCCAACCCCTATATCAAAATCTCACCTATCAACCGGAAAACACCAAAAATCCAATTTCGCCAATTCAAGCCTAAATCTACTCCGGACCTCCAAAACACATTCCGATCAAGCTCCTAAGTCTCAAATCACCTTCCCGAAACTATCTGAACCATCAGAACTCACATTCGAGCCCTCCACCACATAAGTCAACATCCGGTTGACTTTTCCAACTTAAGCTTCCTCAAAAGAGACTAAGTATCTCAAACCTTACCAAATCCTTTCCGAACCCGAGCCAACCAACCTGATCCCATATAGAACTGATAGACAAAGCAATAAGAAGCAAAAATGGGAGAAATGAAGCGGTAACTCATGAGACGACTGGCCGGGTCGTCATACAAATCAACTACCAGATGCATTCACTAACCTACTATTACATCCCGTAAGTTTAACAACCTTACCGTAATATATATTTGATATGGTATTTTAAGTGGAATACTTTTTTAAAAAAAATAGTTTAAAAAATATGATTTTATATAGTTATTAATATTACTACTTTCGAATATGTTTTAAATTATACGCACAATATGAGAAAGTTATGAGATTTTTTTTTGTAAAGATAGAATTTATTTTCTCACATGAAAAGAAAGTTGTCGTTTTTACCATTTTAAGAATTAAGCGTATAAAAATTTGTACTCTTTATACGAGATTAGGAAATTATAAGTTGAGAAAATATATGTATTTTTACATGAATATTTTAATAAAATAATAGTGTATGTATTTATCTTATATGGTACCACATGACCAAGATGGTAAGTTATAAAAAGTGTATTAAAAGTGAGTAGTATTTTAATTAAATTAAGATAATTCTTAATTAAGCGGGTAATTGATAATTTTCTAAAATTTTCGAATAAGCCTAAAAGGCTTTAACGTGGCAGGCAACTTACTCTATTTTGGATGACTCTTAAATTCATATTTGTATGTGGCAAAGTCTAAGAAAGGTTTAAGATCATCAATTGACACGTATGTTATGGAAGATTGAAGATGTTGTTCTTGAATTCAATAAATTTCATGATGAGTTGGAGCTTGAGCTAACATCTTCTCAATATCAGAAGCTATTGTGAATTTGCCTCTTGGTCATATGGTTGTCAAAAGCATAATTTAAGAAGAATCTCACCATAGACTTAAAGATAAAAGAGAAATAGAGAAGGTGAATGATCTCGAGTTCTCATGTGTGCTCCGTAGAGGTAGGCTTTCATGTGAAGCTGATATCTATATAATTATATAAAGCAGGCAATACAAATCGTGGCATCTCTCAAATTCCAGGGTTTCTATTTATCTCTTTTCTTAGATAATTTTGCCTTTTTTAATGAAAAAAAAAAACTCCTGCAGATATAACCGATGGAATTTACAAGGTAAATAACCCCAACAGTCGTTTCTCCTTACATTCCTTCGTAACGGTCCCTCACTCTTAATTATCATACTTGCTTTCTCTTCATTTATAGTAGTATTATATTCTTCGTCTTTCTCAATTACCATGGAGGAGTAATTTCTCTTAATTCTCAAGGTAATCTCTTCTTTATAATTTTGGAACATATCATGTTTTGTTTTATTTTCTCTATGTTTTACACTCTACCTATAAGATGAAGGTGTCTCTATTATTATGTATTCCCAATTCCCAATTTTAATATTAAAGAACTTATCTTTTTGTTATTCGACTTCAGTAATATTTCACAAAATCTGTAACAGTTGCTTTTGATTCTTTTTGGTATTAGACTTTTTAGTTTTCATTATCTCCACTATTCTTTCTACATAAATTTGTTCCTACTGTCTTTTACCATCTATTCCGTGAAGATTTGATTTTTTGAGGGTTTTTCTTTTTCACTTTGTTCAGTTGAAAATTGAAATTTATCTTGAACTTGGAGTTCTAAGATGTCAGAGACAAGCCTAAGGCTTTGAAGATAGTCTCTACAGTTCCAGGTATTGAAATAGTTAAAATTTTCTTTGTTATTCACCAATCAAGATTTCATTCTTAATTGATAAAAAACGTTAATGCTTCAGATGTAATTTTGCTGGTTTTCTTTTTTCCATATGAATTTGTGAAAATTTCAGTTATAGCATCATCATTATCACTGATAATTTATTATTCAGATTCTCTCATTGTCCCCATTTAGCTATCCTTGGAGCATTTTTCGTTATTAACCTGCCATATATCGTCTATATTTTGTTAACCTTGAGTATAATCAATCTGGAACATTGATTGATTGAATGTTATATTTTACTCCTTACATAGTTTGTTGATCAATTTTTTTATAGAATATTCTGCGAATTTGAGGTCATTTGTTAGTTTTACTTGAAATTCAAGTCATAATTAGTTTTCAACCTCGGGGAAACAGAGTTTTGCAGAATTGCGTCACCCGAAAAGAAGTAGAGAATCAGATATCGATACTTTTTATCCAGAGTTTATTTTCATTGTCAAGTTTCTTTTCCTTGTGCTATATAGCCGTCCAATCTAGAATAGTTGTCATTCTTCTCAACTTGACATTTTGGCGTTCATCACTTTCAATGATCATATTTAAAGGCTAATATTGGAACAAATAAAGTTGGCAACAATTGTGTGGGAACCTTTTTGCTAAAGGAGTTGAGTTTGAGAATAGGTAAAAATCATCACTAGATATTTAAGGATCAGCTATAGTTAGTTGTCTTGCGATTAGTTTCCTGCCTGTTACGTTTATATCAAATTCTTATAACTTGTGTTTTTGATATACCAAAATCTTTCAACAATGATAATTTTGGCATAATTTAGTTTGCTAAGTATTGAAAGAAGCCAACATTAGTCTATTCTTTTATGGAAAGAAAATAGAAGCTCATATATCTTTTATACATAAAAGAACTAGGTAAGCTTCGCAATGAGGAGCGAGAATTGTGTTTACCCTTTGAGATGGAAATAGAGATGGAGGAGCGTAATTGGTGCTTGCAAGGTCATAAATATTTTTTTGTGGTCGACAATAGGATTTACACAAAATTAATTTTGGTTCCTTCTCTTTTTTAAAGTCTATTTATAACCTGATAGAGCTATCTTTTAAGAATTAGTAAAGTTCATGATTATATGTCAAATGATTGTCATCCTTCTACTTTTATGATTTTCACAAACTCGAAGTACAATAGTTTTGATTCTGTTAATTATTTGGGGTCTATATTTAACTAATTTTGTTTAATGTTATGTGATACTTGATGGTTTTTATTCCTTAATTAACTTATGTGTAATTATCTTTAATGTTGCAATTACTCAATTAAATGTGTGCATCATAAAATAATATGTTAGTTAAATGGTAGCATAATATATTAAATAACATTCCAACTGCTTATTTAGTTTCCTCTGGTAAAACATACTACTAGGAAATCTACGCAGGGGAACAGTAGTCCGACTTTTCTAAAACCCAAATAAGTAAGTATTTGAAAAACTCTGTTTTTTTCTCTAATTTACAGAAGCAGAAGACAACACTGAGAGAAGTGTATAAGAACAAGTACTTGCCCCTTGACCTCCATCACAAGATCAGGACACCATTCGTAGATGTTTACCAAACATCAGGCATCTTTGAAGACACAAAGGGAGAAGAAGAAAGAGATGTACTTTCCAATTAGAAACTATACCATTAAGGTTTAAAATTAAAATTGATCCAACTTATAATTTGTGATGTTAGCACTTGCAGAGGAAAGCTGAGGATCATATTTTGTCATTCTGCAATGCTATATTTTGTATTACTACGATAAAAAAAATTAATAATATTCCAACTGAAAAGAGTGTTATAAACAAAAGGTAAACGATAGGAACTTGAGTTTTTAATCAAATCACCATGTGCAAAATCGAGTATTGGGTAAATTCTTACCAAGAATTAGGTAATATAATAAAGCTACTCCTTCATATTTATGGTTTTGTTTGACTATAAAATAAATAAAATAAATGATCAGTAAGTGTGTGTATATATATATATATAATTATTTGCTTACTTCAAATGCCAAATTTTTTAATTTTGTTATGGTCTTTTCGAATGATTCTTTGTTGCTAATCAGAAAGTTTGAATGTTATATTAACCCGATCTTCTAATATACGATTAATAATATTTTATTTATTTGTTTCATTAGTAGTCTTAAGATTAATTTTTTGTAATTTTAAAGAGTATTAATTTGAGTTTTTTTATTTTATTTTAGTAGTCCTTCAAATATTTCATACATAGACAATATTAATATGCTTTAGAGGTATAAATTATACAAAAGTATATGTTCTAACTAAACCAAAGTCATAAATTAACGTATGAGTTAAGCCAAATATGTATTATTTATTAAAAAATTCACTAATGTCTTTTATAATCGCGCGAAGCGCGATAAACTCACTAGTTATTATATAACAATGGGTGGCTACTAGGATAATTTTGGTTCCGTAATAGGTATTAAATGGTTACTATAGCAGCATTTTGTTCTATGCCAGTTCATATTACTATTCTATTGCGTTAAAGAGTAAGAATATTAGAATTTTCCGGTGAGAATTTCTTGATTATTTGTTGAGTATCATGTCACTACTCTTATTAATATGAATATCTTAATGAAGGAAGAAATAAATATGGTCTGGGCTGGCAAATTACGAGTAATTGGTATATGAAGAGCAAAGATTTATCTGCAAACCAATCTCTTAGTTATAACTTTTATGTTTCACTCAAAAGTAGGACAAAGTATGAATTGATCAAATCTTCAATATTTACTCAATAAATATTTAATTACGGATAACAGCAAAAAATACATTTGTGATCATATTATTTATTTGCATATTTAATGGGCACATTTGTTAAAAAGTATCATATAGTTGCATCTTACATAAGCAGAGGATGATCTTCATTAATTTTAGCTTTATTGGAGCTAAAAATTACATATAAATCTTGGACTGCTCTCGGGATCTATGTTATAGTAAAGAGTTATTTTATGAGGAACTACATTGAGTTCTAATTATTACAAGTTCTATGCATCTCTAATTGTTAGATAAGAACTTTTTTTACAGTACCTTTTATTGGACCTAAAGCAACAAATAATGTGAATCAAGCGAGTTTTTGCACTTCACCATCATGGTACACCCTTGTCTTGACAATTTATTTGTGGTTACTACAATTGAAAAACAAAAACAAAAATAATTTTTGTAGGTTATCTTTTTGATGTTTTAATTTATCAACTTAATCTATGAGCTATCCTATAGTTTGGGTTAGGTCATATTTTAGTTAAGGAAAATAGTAAAACACTTAAAAACACAGTAGAAAAATATAGTAGGAGAAACATATTAGAACATGGTGGAAGAAAGTACCAGAACACAACAAAAATGCGTACGAGAACATAGTATAGGAAAACACAGTAGGAGATGCATACAAGAACAGGATATAGAAAACACAGTAGAAGAAGCATACAAGAACAAGATATAGAGAACACAGTAGAAGAAGCATACAAGAACGTGATAGAAGAAAAAATATAAGAACATAGTAGAGGCAGATGCACACAAAAGAAAAAAGAAAGAAAGTCAGAGAAACACTTAATTATTTTTCCAGAAAACCCTAGATCGCAAAAGAAATGGCTCCGAAAGTAATTTTGAAAGAAAAGCCAGAGAAATTGTTTGAAACTTAGGGAAAGCATAGATACACAACAGATCTAAAAGAATCGGAGAAAACCTCAAAGGGTTAGGGTTTCAGAGGAACCCCAGTAGTGAGAAAGGCTTTAAAGAGTCATCGATCTAAGTCAAAGAGGTCAAAATCAGGCTCGAACAACCATGGTACGCTGGCATAAGGCCGGAGATGGCCTGGAACCTCGAATCGACAGAGGTCAGGCACGTGGGAGTCATAGGAGGTTGGTGTAGGACTCTCATAGCCTTGGAAGCCATAGATTCCGGTGGCTTTCAGGGCGGAGGTGGTATGAGGCGGCTAGGGTTTGAGAAGGTTCGAGAGTGTTTGAGAGTGTGGAGGGTTCAGAGGCGGCTGGTAGGTAGAATAGGGTTGGGGTGTTGGTGAATTAAAAAAGGTAAGGTTAAAATGTGGCCGTTGATCATTTCGATCAATGGCCTGGATTAAGAAGGGGTTCGGGCGGGTCATTCAAACGGGCTATGGGTCGGCTAATTTTAGGAATTGGGGTGGGGTTTAATTGGGGTAGAATTTGGGCTACAATTGAAATAAAATCTGGCTAGATTTTAAATAGCCATTTTTCCCATTTATTTTATAAAAAATAACAAATTAAATTTTGGAAATAAATTGAAAGTACTAAAATAATTTATAACATATAATTATCAATTAAAAAATGCTGGACTTAATTTTTATAAATATAAATGCAATCAAATCATAAATGAGGCTAATATTGCAATTACATGTAGTTGAGCTTTAAAAATACTAAATAAATTTATAAAAACATGTAAAAATTATCTGAGCTATAGTTTAGCATAAATATGAGAATTCAATAAGTGAATCACCAAAAATTAATAATTTTGGACACTTATTGGATTTTTCTTGATAAAATAAGGTAATAAAATTGATTTTAAAAGCCTTTAAAATTAAGGAAAAATAATAAAAATATTTGTAATTACTTATATATGCATATATATGCTATTTTTTGAAAGTATTTTGCATATAAAAATATACAGGGAAAATTGGGTATCAACAGCTGCCCCTCTTTTTCCGGGAAGGATGAAAGAGTTGTCGGGTAAAGATATGATGGTCGATTTTGACCGAACGAAGAGGCTGACCGTGCTCTAGTTCCTGAGCTGCCTACATATCCCTGGTCTTACAGGAATCAGTCCATATGTAGTTCAGGATCCGTCGGCGGAATATGCCGATGGAGATTTTTCAAGACGAATGCGGTATTTGGGTTGGGATGGATGGTTTAAATTCTAACAGGGCTGCGGGAACTGGAGCGGGATTGCTCCTGTTGAGACGGCCATTGCTCGCCGGTTTACCTGCAAATAAGCAATACAAGTGTATATTGTGCGAAAATTTAAACGTGATGCAAGTTCCCGTCGGACCATGAATGTTGTCTTTGGACAGTTAGGATGATGTCCTCAGACCATGATGTCCTGGGCCATGGAGCGTATGATAAGGGATTCGCAGTACATGAAATTATGCTCTCGGGCTATGATAATGATGCCTCCGAACTATGACGCCTTTGAATAATGATATTCAAAAGATAAAAGGGGTCCTCAGGCCATGGCATGACGTTCTCGGGCTATGAAAATGGTGCCTCTGAATACTGATGCCTTTGGATAGATTGACAATCTTTCAGCCCATGAGATGTAGAAGGTGGCGGTCTTTTAGCAGATGCAAGATGTAAATGAAGTGGCGATATTTCATCCGATGCAAGATGTAAATAAAGTGGCGATATTTCAGCCATGCAAGATGTAAATGAAGTGGCGATCTTTTAGCCGATGCAAGATGTAGATGAAGTGGCGATCTTTCAGCCATGCAGATGGAGACAGAGCTTAGTCTCGGAAGGCAGAATGGTAGCCTTATACAATGTAGGGAGTGCAGATGGAGACAGAGCTTAGTCTCAGAACGCAGAATGGTAGCCTTATGCAATGCAGAGAATGCAGATGGAGATAGAGCTTAGTCTCGGAAGACAGAATGGTAGCCTTATGCAATGCAGGAAATGCAGATGGAGGTAGAGCTTAACCTCGGAAGGCAGAATGGTAGCCTTATGCAAGAAATAAAAGGCAGGTGGTAGTAGAGTTTTCTTAGCTCATATTTGATTTCGATATTGTGGTTGTTGGGGATATTGTGTGCGTATAGCAACTGTGAATAGGTGACGATTCTGAGAGTTGTATTCCTGATCAGTATGAGTGTATAGTATATTCGATGATTTTCCAACTCAGTGTCACGACCCAAAATCCCAACCCGGTCGTGATGACACCTCTCATGAGGACAAGGCCAGCCAATCAACAAAACAGTACATCTCTTTATAATTACTTAGAAGGAATAAGTCTAAATCATGGGCAATATAATCTTAAATGCGAAATAAACGTGATAGAACAAGGAAAACCATCCCAACTCAGCCCGAAATCGGGGTGTCACAAGTCATGAGTTACTACAGAGTTTACTAATATTTTACAAAGTCTGGAATTATCATAAATAACAAAGATAAGGGAGAAAACGGGGCTGCGGACGTCAACAGCTACCTCGTTACTCCTAGTCACCGCCTGGCCTGGAAAGAATCAGCGCTCATGAGCGAACTCAGCTCTTCCTGTTTCTACACACATGGTGCAAGGAGTAATGTGAGTACTCCGACCCAGTGAGTAATACAAGTAACTACTGTCCGAAGATAAGAAAACCTAGTAAATACACAAAGTAAGCTAAAATCCAAATATGCAGCAACATATGGAACTGAGCAGC